ATGATGTATTGAAGATCTGTAAAATAGCAGAACACCTTGATATGATTGTGTGGGCATATGATTTCAATTTTTCCTTTTTTCTGCATCTTTTCTACATTAACCTCAAATAGCGGACCTCTGGTTGATTCTGGAATTTCTTTATGGTGCTTTTACTCTCTGAGGCTTGTAGCTTAAATTTCAATTTAGCAATCAGAGTAATGCAGAGATATAAATTTACCTTATTATTCCTTTGCCACCTTACCTTATCAAAACAGATCAGCTTGAGTTTTCCACAAACACTGATTCTAAATCAAAGCAAGCACATAGGGTTAATTAATATCAATGGACTATACAAAGGGAGTGGGACTTGTCCGTCTAACACAAACATCTAATTTGGTTTCCCATAAAAAGAAGGGAAAATGATAGTGAGAAAAGGACATCACCCAAATCTCCTTCTTGGTTGTCTCAACAAACCTGGAAGACATAGCTCAGTGGTGAAATATGTGCTCCACATACTTCTCACCAGGTACTGAGAAGTGTGGCCTCTGACAATACTTAAAAGACAGTACTCCAGGTTCTCCAACTAATTGCAAAAAAAGGTTCCCTCATCATTAACGACCTAGAAGGAGCTTTATGTAACCACAAAAAAAGTTTCCAATCTCCAAATATGCGGACACCTCCAAATTGAACCCATTACTCACTTGCCCTCAGCTCTAATATGGAAACGAGGCTCTGTAAACAAAACTATTCATTTGAGTATTTCTATTGATGAAAGAAGTGATTAGTTCAGACTTCAAACAGCCTTGTAATAAAATTTACTAAAAAGTAGAGCATTGTTAACTCCCAAAATTGTAAACTATAACATTTAATTATTTAAACAATTCTCAATTTCTCTTGCTGATTCGAGTTATCAGGACTTTATAGTATTAATTGGAAGGATTAATGGCATCCATGAATGATCTGTTGAAGAATATAATCTGAATTTACATCACTTCTTTCATAGAAAATACTGCAATTCGATTATTGTTTCTATAACAGAAATTAAATGCACCTTGAGGGATTGATACAGTAGATCTGTTTTTTCTTTAACCTCTGTAGAGCATAAACAATCCCCACGGACATTGCTGCAGGTAAAGCAGGTGGAACAGCAATAGTGATGATGTCTAGAGATCTCACCAAAATTTTCCCAACAGACATCTGATGTGCAAAAAAATGCATTGGTTTCCTCTAAATTGATAATACCTTATGGCTTGCCATTTGAGAATTCTTAATCACTTTTGTTCCTACATCTAACTGAAAAAGTTATTAACAGAAGTCTTGCATCTGTTAATCCATTCATTAAAGCAAAAACAGTGAAGGGAAAAATGATTTGAAACGATAATTACTTTCAAGGCTATAGGCTCTGTTAGACAAAGACAGACTGGGACAAGGTGTTCTCCAGGGTGCTGAGTGTTGTGATACAAGGTGAATGCACTAGAATGAATGGCAGATTCTGGTATCTTGCTCTATGTGATTACAACCTTTTCAACTGAAGTGAGAAGTTTTGCTATTGTTTTCTCTTGTAGAACCTTAGGTTTTGGTTGATAGAAATTAACAAGTCAAGCTTTAACCCTCTTGTTGGCTGAATTTATGAAATTTATAGAGAACATGCTCTGCTCTATAGGTTACTAAAAATGTATAATTTATGTAAAAGCACTGACCCCATTCACCACTGAGATGTACACACTGTACGAAAATCCCACCATTGCTAAAATTTTGAGAAAAACAAAGTTGTAAGTTATCATACATCAACAAACAGTAAACATCATTCATTCATCTTAGTCTTTTTATGAGCCTGGAAAAGTTATGTCCAGCAGTGACCATCATCTAAAGTAAAACTGTCTCACTCTTATGTGCTGATCAGGTTGAAGCTTCAACATCCCCTCAACCATCTCCTGGCAACCCACAGGCACTTGACTGTTGACCACCCTCCATGCCTGGGGGGGCAGGGAATTTGAACCTTGCTTGCATGGGGTGGGAAATTTGAACCTGAACTGTCTGGTCATTCCAATGGAATAAATGTCTATCTTATTACTATTTATCGTTAAATACTACAGTATTTAAAGAAAAAGAGTTCACTTTCACGAGCAAATGGCTAAGATGGAAAGGTATACAAGAAAGTCACAGTCACTGATCTTGCCTTAACAAAGAAATTGACCTTGAAATCCAGCACTTTAGTAATACATTTGAGCACAATTTTGGACCATGGGGGTAGGAATTTTAACAAACCAATTTTAAAAAGTTTAAGGACTTCGGGGGTTCACCAGAGCAAGGATGTTGAAGCTTCAAATTGATTGATGCATCATCTTGAAACAAAAGAAAGTACATGTGTATGAGTCATTCAAAAAAGAGCTTGCATTGCTGAGCATGCTTCCTGCAGGAACATTTAATGAAAGTTAACAATTTAAACCCACTATGAATAATTTAAGTAGATATACAATGAGCAGGTCCTGAACTGATGTTTAAACATAGAGATTTCCTACAATAGAAATTAGCAGAGATCAACCAAAAACTTCATACAGCACAATGCAATATTAGGATGGATCCTACCAAGAATTGTCATAAGACCAATAAAACGCATAGAATCACGGAAGAATTTGAAGCCAACTGGTTTTGGACTAAGAATGGAACGCATTAAGCCACCCTTGGTTGTGGAGAATCCTGAAGATTCAAAATTAGACAGAGTGAGTGTGGTTGTCAAAATTTGACATGCATGAACACTATACTTCATGTATTATACTACCCAAGTCTAGCAGTGTCTTTGTAAGAGAACTTTGCCATATAGAGAAGAAAAGAATATTCAGGTACTTCTGCAAAGTTTAACATGTCAACTTTTGTAGGATATTTATTTCTTTTGCAGGTACATATAATGACAGTTTGACATGGTAAACAAATAAGAACACAATACTTTCTACACTCTACAACTTTCAAGTTCAGGACCATAAGTAATGTAAGGATTTATGCTTCTTTGTAGTGTAAAGAGGTGAAGAAGAGAGCTTTACATCATTCTTTCAGCAAGTAAATAATGGCGGTTGGCTCTGTATCCTTGAAGCAGTTGCATCAGAATGATCCTTAAAGTTTCCCAGGAGTAGGGATTTCATCACATAGATCAATACAGTTCCACTTAATACAGGTTCAACAAGTTTTGATAAATTAAAAACTGTTCACATGCATTTTCTACATAGAATATCATTAAACAGAGCTCATACATGTCCATCTACCTGTTCTAACAACAACTGCTAGCACCCTGACATTCCCATAGTAACGGGTTTGTATGACATTGGTGCCATTAAAGAGAGTGTGTCTCTTGTGCCGTTCTGGGCTATACTGGTCTTCTCTCTGTTCCAAAGGACTGTTTGATAATCTCTTTATATAAGGCAATGGAATCTTTGTGACTGGAACACTTTCACCTGTATGAAATAAAAACAATTGTTAGCCTACCCATTTCATTTGACTGTAAGAGTCAGAGTGAACTTAAAACAAAGTAGCCCTCTGCCTTTTAAGGCCCCCACTGTCCACTGCAAATGACAAAGGGAACAGGGAAAGTGTTACATCATCAGTTTCACTTGCGCAAGCTCAAGAGCAGTCCATTTAGAAGTTGTAACGTCACAAACTGGGATTATGTGGAGGTGAGATACCTATTCTATACAGGACATTGATGAAGGTGGAGAAAACCTGACAAGGGTGAAAAGGAGATTGGATTTTACTAAAGCCCAAGCATGGAGGCGATGAAAGAAAGAGTAGGTCCACAGCCTAATGGAAAACCACTGACCATAAAAGGAACTTGACACAACACCTACAGTTGGGGAGGTCATTCTCATTGTTGGAAATGAGAAGAATTGTGGGAATAGAGGAAAGGAAGGGTGTTAGGCCTTGTTCAAGGTAAGGATGGAGTGGTTAGAGGCATGGTCCTGCTGCACAAGAGACACAGCATTACCAACCTCTTCAGGAAGTGTGCCCATTGGAGATTCAAAAGGCAAGTCAAATCAGCCCCCCAAAAGCAGAGGGGAAGGGATGAAGCCCAGCCCAGAAAAAAAGAGTGCAGGGTTCCACAGCTGAAGAGAAGCTCAAAGAATCTAAATGCAAATGCAAATGCAAGCATCATAACTGTAAATATAGTTGGTGTCAATTATAGGGTTGTTGTGATTGACTGGTTGCAGACCCAAGACAGGTTGCAGACCCACTTTTCCTTTGAGGGGAGGTCTAAATAAGAATATGAAAATGTGCAAAGAATGAGAGCTGGGTCATTTTTTATTACAAAATTGTTAAAGGGTACTGTGAGCCTTTTTGCTTAAAAGGATAAAAAATCACATCGTGTTAAGTCTCCGGTTGAGTATTTGGGACCAACTTATGGTGAAACTCACGTTTGGGCTGCATGTTTTCAAGCTAACTATATAAAAAATTTTGAACTAATGACAATGTCTTTCTTTTAACTCATAGATGCTATGACTGCATTTGTATTAGTTTTTATCTAACCTAAACATTAGATACATTACTACACAAATTCCTCATAGTAACACAACCTATTTACCTTAATGGAACTAATGAGAATATTCTATCCATATTTGCAATAATTTTTGTCTAATTTTTCACCTGTTAGCATGCTCTCATTGACAATACAGTTACCACTAATAAGGACAGAATCACAGTGAACTTGTGCCCCATTAGGTGGAATGACCAGCAAATCACCAGGAACAAGTTCATCAGATGATACATCTATTTGATCTGTGTAATTCAAGGTGAATTTTAGTTTCTCTGTCAACATTGGCAAATGGCAATAGGCCCCTCAGTCAAAAGTGCTTTTCAGCAGCAACAGATGAGCAGAATTTACAACCATGAACACAAGATCTAGTGACAAAACCAGAAAATTCTTCTATGAAATTCTCTTTGATCTTGGGTTAAGAATTACAGCATGGAGCAACTAAAAGGTGGACAATTTGTTAGATGTCACCATCAACCTGAAAACTAACGAACATTACCCACTCAGAGAGCCTGACAAAAATTCCTTGTACATCAATATTATTTTCAACAGGAATTTCAACTTCATAATGCATCACAAACAAATTATGAAAAGGATAGGTTTGACTTGGTCTGCAACTTCTTTGCACTAAAAAAAATTACGAACTATTTGATACAAAACATGGGAAATGTTATAGCTGTTCAATATGATGAATACACTAATATCAAAGAACTTTTAACTTGTCCCATAATGTCAAGATATTTCCACTACATACTGCTAGTCATTTAATTGGAAAATAGAGAATACTAATTTCAGGTAAACTTTTGAATAATTATGCTCAACTCTGATTGGTTGGTTCCCTGACAATTCCATTTTGATTGTACTTATTGGTACCAAATCAATGTGGTTGTTGTCAACTTTCTCGTACATTTAAACAGAGTACCTGCATTATTTCGCAGCACAGTGACTCTCTCTGACACTGCCACCATGCTTCGCAATCTCTCAAGATGCTGTTGAAAAAAAAACTTACTTAGTCATATGATTGCACAATTAACACTGCATAATATTATTAATAAATTGATTTATAAATAAATAATGCTTGCCAAAATAAAGTGCGTAGATTTTGAGCTGGGATGTCATTTCTCTCAGACTCCTTGCAATATAATAGCATCCTGTGGGAAGTTACATGGTATCATGCATCAGGGTATATGTGCCATTGTAAATCCAAGAGAGAAGAAAAATGGAGCAAACATTAGAACCACTACAAATGATCCAGCTGAGAAAAAGACCCAGGCTGATAGTGGTACTCAAGACAAAGGTTACAGTTTTTCTCAGTAAGGACTGACCTTGGCTAGTCAAGGTCTAGGGAATTTCTTGCAGAAAAAAAAGAATTTAGGGCTATAATTGTGGCATAATTCTCAATAACCTGACCAAAGAAACATAATGCAAGGTACAAATTAAAACATTTTTATATGCATTATAATACAACTGATTTAAAAGGCTTGTCAAACCCATAAACCACCAAACAAATGTCACAGGCCAGATTTTTTCAAGTTAGAGTCCATAATGGTTTGTTTCATATAAACCAGTTTGGTGCAGGCTTGCCTGAAATTTAGCAACCGCAATGAAACAGCTTTTTTACATTGGATTATACATGTCTATGGGGAAAGACAAGTAGTGCATGGCTTACCACTTTTGTTTGGTATACTGTGATTGTTATTGAAACCACTGTGACTATCAAAATGGCAAGAGCATAGTAGTAGTAATCCTCAGTTGACCATAAAACAATGCTGCAGAACTGGAACACATAGAAGGGATCTGCAACCTGAAACAATATTGGGTACAACTGTAGTATCATAATATTCCTGATGAGTATCATAATCCTCTGATATCTATATCTATCTATCTATCTACCTATCTATCTATCTATCTACCTATCTACCTATCTATCTATCTATCTATCTATCTATCATCATCTATCTATCTATGTATATATATATATATATATATCTCTATATCTATATATCTATATCAGATCTCTATCTATCTATCGATCTACAGATCTTTATCTATCTATCAGTCTATTGATCTGTCGATCTATTGATTCACCCATCCATCCATCCATCCATCTATCTATCGATCTATCTATTTATCTGACAGTAAGTATGAAGCACGCTCTCCTTTAGTATTTCGTTTATTCATCAGTACTACAGTACTAAAAGTGCGTATCTAGCACTATTCAATATGCTGTTCTTGCCCATTATAGGCCTGAAACTTTAGCTTTTCTCGAGAAACTGTTGATACCTCACAGCTGCCTCAACATTCTTTCTGTTCAGTTCCCTGGGTTCCACAATCAATACTGAGTAGAAAACTCTAGCAAGACACTTGTTCCAGGATAACTTTTCCTGTGGCATTCCTCGTGTAAACTATATTGGAATTGTAGTTACCACGCCGAAGAGAACGCATTTTATGTGATATATTTTTGCTTTGAAAGGTATAACAGATTACGGCGTTTTTGCACAGTATTCGTTAAAGGTTGCACTTTTCCTGGGGTGGATTTTCAGAGAAACCATATTACGCAAATCATAGTGATTATTTCTTCTTTTTCTATGCTTGAGCGAGCAATTGATAGGAATGAGTTAACTCCTGGTCCAGTCACTAGTATCTGTAGTTTCATGAATTGGACCATTCGTGGATGTTCCTCTCTAACTCTTTAGCCGGCTAACGTTGTTAATGCACTATTCGTGTGTTTATGTGTTCATTCAGTCACGCTTTTCATTATAAATACCAATCCTTGAACAACTACAACTGATACGTTGAATGGTCAAACAAGATGAAATTATTCAACTGGATAACATGCAAAAATTAACTGAACTGGTTCAACTGGATAAAATGGAAAAACTAGCTGAAATGGTTCAACTAATTAAAATGGTAAAACTAGTTAAAATGGTTCAACCAAACAAAACGCACAACTAGCTGTATAGGCTCAACTGGTTTAGTGGTCAAAATAGCTGAATATATGT